CACTCTTGGTACATATTCATGTATGTTAATTGTTTTCCTAAAATTATATTTGTTTAACACCATGTCCCTGTATTTTTGAAAGATATCAGCGTTTAATATGATCTAATTATTGCATCTTCTGTGTATACTATTATATTTTTAATTCAGAAAATACTCTCTCTAGAGGTGCTAAGGGACCTGGTAAACTCATAGCAAATTTTGCTAAGTGTGAAAATCCTCACTACCATTTAAAAAATATTGAAATTAAAAAATATTTCAGGCTAATATTTTTTTAGTTATTACCCATTGCTTCCACTCAGGGTGCCTTTTGTTGACAAATATTTTTACAGAGCAAAACTCAGCAAAGAAGTTGTCTTTATTGATGATCTTTAAAAATGTTTTGTTAAATTTTTATGCTGCCAAATCACAGAGCCTCCTAATTTTGTGTTATTGGGATGAAATATAAACTTACCCAATTAAAAAATAGGTTCTCCATAAACTTTCTACCAGTTGAGAAAATTCCACAATAATTATGGAATTTCCAATTACTTTCTCCACTTGAACTCTCCTCATTCAATATGTTGAATGCTTCCTGTGCTTTTTTGGCTGCACTGCGTGGCATGTTGGATCCCAGATCATGGATGGAACCCATGTTCCCTGCAGTGGAAGCTCAGAATCTTAACCACTGGACTGCTAGGGAAGTCTGCTTTGCTTTTTTAAGGATACATTTTAATGAACCTCCTGGTTTTAAGTTTTGTCTTCAATAATTGGAAGTTGCCAAAGCTTGCAATTATATTAAATATGGTTGCAATTACATAAAATAAGGTTAAACATCTTATTTGGCGCTCTTTGTGGAATAATTTGATCAAAGCTTACAAATGATTTTGAACAGACTATAACCAGAATTTAGAAAAATTTTGGAAATGTTTATTCCAGTATGGATTAGAAACAAGAGAGTAAAACGTGTTTGGTGGGCCATGCAAATCAAGAATACTGGAGACGTGGGTAAGCGCTGGGGCTCTTGTCCATGGAAAATGCATGACTTTGAAGCACGAATGCTGTGCTGGTGACCCCAGCTTCCAGTGTTTTCTGCTTGCTTCCTGAGTCTCATATGAGTCTGGGAAGGGAGAGAAGTTGCCCACCTCTGTTCATTCTATAATCCCTTTAGTTGGCTCCCTGGTCACTTGCTGCAGCCCTTCTGTGGCTGCCCAAGGAGGCACCTTGTCTTCTCATGAAGTGTTAGTGATGTGGCCATCAATTCAAACAGGTGGGCACAGGTTGTATCTGGAAATGGTATCTTGGCTGGAAGAATGCTGCTTATCACCAAGGCTACAGATTTCTTTTAAGCTGTATCTCTGCTTCTTATTATAAGGTGTAGTGAAGTGAAAGTCACTCAGTCGTGTCTGACTTTTTGTGATCCCATGGACTATACAGTCCATGGAATTCTCCACACCAGAGTACTGGAGTGGGTAGCCTTTCCCTTCTCCAGGGGATCTTCCCAACCCAGGGATCAAACCCAGGTCTCCCGCATTGCAGGTGGATTCTTTACCAGCTGAGCCACAATCGAAGCCCAATTTATAAGGTGTGTCTAGTATTATTCACAGCTCATAACTCAACTAAACAATTGAAAAGAAAATTCAGAGAAAGCCCAGCTTTAACTGCATATCATGGACTCATAGGGTGCTATGTTTATCCCTCAAATTTCCCACTTTAAATGCTGAAATAAAACACTTATAAAAGAATATGAGATTTGACTGTAAATTTTGAGGTTTAGTGTGGTTCTGCCCAGAGAATAAAAAAACGTGGGGGTGTAGCGTGTTGTTGGCATTGTTCACTGGCAACACTAACAGGCATTACTTTGAATAAAGTTTCCATTGTGTATTTTTCAGTGGTAAAACAAGTTTACATGCCCATGAAGATGAATTCACTCCTGAAAAAAATACACAGAGGATATTCAAAATTTTAAAAGTTTGAAAATTGATGAACTTCATTTTTTTCTTATTCCTTAAGTGACATATTTTGATGTATTAATATTTCTGGAATTCTGCATAATGGAAGAATTCCAGAGTGTGATGGAAGAGGAATCAGGGGACACCTACCTCCATGGGACACACTCTAGTGAGCTCGCTGGCAGACTGCAGCGCCTGGAAGCAATTCCTTCCTTTATTTTTATTGAAAAAGATATGACCAATGAAAACTTAGAATTTTTCAGGCAACACTGATTTGAGGCATGTTTTCATGTTTTCCCCGAAGTTTTTACTAAAGATGCTCTTCTGTGATGCTTCCCGCAGATCAGAGCACAGGCAGCAAAGGGCCTGCGGCATCCTTTCCTGGGGTAGGATCCACTGCCTGTGCCCCTAAGGGGAGGATGCGGTCAACCCATCACCTGATTGCTCCTGGTGGTCTGGTCTTCTGCCCTGGAGGGCATCCTCTCCGATGTCACAGGTGCAGAGCGCACACCTTCATGCAGGTGTCACTGTGGAGTGCCTCTCTGCTTGAGGGGTTAGAAGACACAGGGCAGAGTGTGAACCGGGCCTCTCTGGTGGGAAGCGGGTGGGGAGGAGAGCGACCGTAGGGCTGAGCCAGGCCGGGCAGGGACTGCACCTCCACCCCACTCTGACCTGCTGGTTTCTCATGGTGCGGATTCCCATTGTTTCTCATTGTTCTCGGTGAGGATTCCAGGTTGGCCCATCTCCCCCATACTCTTGGGGTTCATGTGAGTTCACTCGAATTTTTGATGACTTTTTTCCTATCTAGTTTAGCGCCCAAGATAGCTAGTTCTGACGTTCAATCTGCCATTTGATACTAGCGGTGTGAGTTGTCAACACAAACAATAAATTGACAGGAGGAGGAGCCGGCTCACGTCTCTGGAGAAAGTTTTCAGATGCCGATTACTGCATGAATCTGTGTCCAGACTGAACAGCAGGAGATAACAAATCCTGCTGTTCCTTTTAAATTTTTCTACCTTTATGCAGTGACTACAGAGGCAGGGTAAAGAGTATTTCCAGAGGAAATAACTTACAAGAACAGTTCCCCATAATTTCCTAGGTAGGATTCGGAATTATGAGTCTCCCTGGCTTATTAAAATATTGATAACTCTGAGGCGTCGTTGTGGTAGCAAGCTTCACACGGTGTTTCCTCGGATGTTGCAGTCCCCTGCAGTAAGCAGGAAGTCAAAACGATTCCCTGGTAGTGGCAAACCAGCCCTTTGTTATTGGTCATTGTAAAATATCACAATGTGCAAATAGTTATTCTGTGTTCAGTCGCTCAGTGGTGTCCAACTCTTTGCGACCCTACGGACTGAAGCCTGCCAGGTTCCTCTAGCCATAGGATTCTCCAGGCAAGAATACTAGAGTGGGTTGCCATTTCCTCCTCCAGGGGATTTTTCCAGGGATTGAACCCATGTCTCCATGTCTTCTGCATTGGCAGGTGGCTTCCACCACTAGCACCACTTGGGAAGCCCAGTTAATCAATCTAAACCTTTAGAAATGTCAGATCAGGAAGTCAAAGAAGTCTACAAATAAATCCACCTTTTGAATTGTTCTGTACACATGTTTTGCTAATGGAAAGTATTCTGAAAAAATTTACCCTCTGATAACTTGCTGGCCATTGTCTGAAGTAGGTCATTTATGTCTATCTGTCCCTTCTCTTCCTTCCTTTGAGCGTTCACTGCATTTCTAGTGAGGGGATGTGTTGAGATGCTCATGTTTAATGCTCAAAGGAGTGACCTTAGCCAGCCAGAAATGAAATCTAGCATGTTGAGAGCAATCCAGAATGCTGTTTGGCTCACGTTTTGGACTTTCATGAGGTCAGAGACATGTGGGCAGAGGCTACATTCAACTCTTGTTGTTATTCCATAAGTCATGTCCAACTCTTTGCGACCCCATGGACTGCAACACATCAGGCTTCCCTGCCCTCCACTATCCCTGAGTTTTATGTCCAGAGAGTCAATGATGCCGTCCAACCATCTCATCCTCTGTCATCCCCCACTCCTTTTACCTTCAGTCTTTTCCAGCATCAGGGCCTTTCCCAATGACACATTTCAACTCTATGTAGCATATAATGCAAGAATCTCCATTCTCTCCAGCAGATCCTCCCAAGCTCCTTGTCACCAGACTCAGGTGGGGACAGATCCCTTGACTGGTCTTTCTGAGGCCCATGGGAGGGCCTCAGATTCATAATAGGGCCTTTCTGAGGCCCTATATTCCCTGTGGCAGTACCTGCGGGGAAGACGCTGGGGTCATGGTGAAGGAATACTGCAGGTGAACACCCAAGGCATAGGGCAATGTATGGGAGAAAATCTAATTTAATCTGTATATATGGGAACCTCACACAGTCAAGAGCGTCAGACCCAGAAAGGTACAATGGGGTTCGCACAGCATCCTGAGCTCAGGAATGGGACGGGCCTGGGGCTGCCAGGGTCAGGAGGGCCGTTGCCTGGACAATGCAGGAAAGGGCAGGCGCTGGGTGATTAGATGCTGGCCCTGACACACAGGCGGGGCCACGCGCACAGAATCTGACTGCAGCAGTCACTCCTCTGGGGAAAACCCACAATAGAAATTCTTTTAGGTAATTAAGGGAGGGGCACAGGAATTTTTCTTGAACCTGCAGGGTCTTGACTGCCTTAAGTTCAGAAAAACACTCCTGCCCGAGGGCACGACTTGGGGAGGCCTGTTCTGAACCCTACATGCTCCTTTAGCCAACTGGAGTCTGTGAGCCAGCATGTCCTCATTTGAAGAGTGAGGATGATATTTTGTCTCTGAGATCCTCTGGCTGGTTAGTAAGCCTGTGTTAACAAAGGCATATTTATGAAGGTGGCTTCCCTGGTGGCTCAGATGGTAAAGCGTCTGCCCGCAATGTGGGAGACCCGGGTTTGATCCCTGGGTCAGGAAGATCCCCTGGAGAAGGAAATGGCAGCCCACTCCAGTACTCTTGCCTGGAAAATCCCATAGACGGAAGAGACTGGTAGACTACACTCCGTGGGATCGCAAAGAATCAGACACAACTGAGCGGCTTCACTTTCATTTCCTTTCCTGAAGGCGGCACATGACACGTGGAAGAGTAAACACGCGGTTCCCAGGAGGAATCCCCGGGCTCCTCCCGGAGTCGCCGAAGCTCGGCCGCGGCCCAGCCCTGTCTGTCCTCCGGAGTGTGGCCTTGGAGGGCTCAGGGGATGCCGAGTCCACACAGTTCATCTGGGCATGGTGTTCAAATGGGCCCTGCTGAGGGCTAGGTTCTGATAAGCTGGCAATGCCAATAGGCCTGGCACGTCCCTGGCTTTGCCGCGGTGTTGCCAGAAGCAGCAGGAAGGGACCCTGGTGGGCTGTGCAGGCGGCCTTGGAGGGTCTGTGCCGCGATTCCAGGAACTGTGACAGCCGAGGAAACCAGTAGGGGTTCGCACACTGTGCTTTATAGTCATCCTTTGGGATTCTAGATAGAGAAACAGCATGGTCACACGCGGGTAATGAAAGTAACGTCTCTCTCTTTTGCTGTCCACCGGAAACTCTCATCACACAGTCAATCTTCTGTACAGCAGTATAGATAGAAAGGTTTTTTTAAAAAAAAGAAGAAAAAGTAATGTTTCTAAACACTCAAGGGCCCCCAATCCTCCATTATATAAATACATAGATGCATATAAATATACAGATACACTTTGTGCTGTAGGATAAAGGCGAGCTCAGAGTTCCCTGATGTGCTGGCTGGTCAGGAGATGACCGCCTGCCCTGTTAGGGGCTGTGGTCCCCTCGTGCATACAGGTCTCTCCTATTGGAGAGGTTGACGTGGGTCACACAGACACTGAAAATGGACCCCGCTCGGGTGAGGACAGAACAGGCTAGTCCTTTCGACTCCGGGGCGGAAGGAGCTTCTCTCAAATCTGAAGACCCCACCCCCTCCGCCGGCCTCCCATCCGCTGGTCCTCCTGGTCCAAGCGGCGGGCGCGGCCCCTCTGAAGTCTTGGATCTGAACTCCAGGATTTTCAGAGTCAGTGGCGGCTGCCTGGGTGCAGCTGAGGCTGCTCACAGGATGGCTACTGAGGAACGTTTATGCTAGAAATGGCCCATTTACTCAAACTTCTGAATTAAAGAATGCCAGAATATAAGACAAAAGGAGAACTGTTTTATGGGGAATTGGACTCGAATAACCAGGCACTTGTCCAGGTTTCAGAGTAGCTACACAAGTGGCCAAGTTAATTTGATGACTTAAGTGGGTGTGGAGGGGGTTTCCCTTTGTAGATTATAAAAGTCATGGGCACGCAGTTTGTTTTCTAGGAAATGAATTAGGCAGCTGCTTTACCTTCTGGCATAATCATGACCTGGACTGTGGGCACCGCGTGTCCATCCTGCCTTGCTGGGGTCTGGCCGTCTGGCCTTAGCTGTGCGCAGCCCCATTCGGTCCTTCCTCCCGGCTCAGCAGTCCCCCCAGCCTGGCCCACTGCACCCACTTTGCGTCTGTTTCAACCTTCCTGGACTCTCACCTCATCATCGCTTCCACCTGCCCTCCATCAACTCTTCCTGCTTTACCCTCCCCCGCCCCACCCACTTCCCGGGGCTCTGATGACCAGAAATTCCTCTTAGTTTTACAATCTGTTGTGGCCCACGGGCTTCGTTGCTCTGCAGCATGTGGGATCTTCCGGGACCAGGAATCGAACCCCCCTCTGCTGATTGGCAGGCAGATTCTTTACCACTGAGCCACCAGGGAAGTCCCCTGAGATCTCACTGATACGTGAAGATGCCACTAAGACTGAAACCAAGAGTCCGGCTGCTCTGGACAGGCCACCTCTTCCTCCAGGCCCGCTGTCTCGCAGTGAGCATGGCTGAACCAGAGCGACTTCCACACCACCCAGCAGCTGGGCAGGGCAGGGGGTTAGAACAGTACCATCCAAGGGAAAGAGAACATGGGAGCCACGGATGGGAGCCGCGTGTACAATTCCAAGTCTTCTAGCAGCCACATTAAAGAAAGTAAAACGAAGCAGGTATACGGTTAACTTTAATAGTACGTATCATGTTGAGCTTCATAGAGCAGAATGTTCTCTCTTCCATGTCAACCAATATAAGATATGAGTGAGACACTTCAAGTCCAGTGTGTGTTTTATGTTTACATTGCATCTCAGTTTGGAGGAGCTGTGTTCCAGGTGTCTGATAGTGATGTGTGGCCCGTGGCTGCCACGCTGGGCACTGCAGTGTCACGGCAGCCGTCAAAGGTCATGCTCTTTTGAGGTGAGAGACTCGTGCCATCTTTGGATGTCAATGGCTGGATGCCCAGGATTGGGGAGGCTGAGTGGCCGGGTCAGCCACTAGGGAGTGATGTACGTTGTAACCATGTGCATCTCGAGAGTGCACCTGTCAGAAAGCGGGTACCACGGTGATGAGGAGGGGGAGGACGGGGAGGGGAGGGTTTTGCAAATAAGGAAGTAAGCTGGGAGCTTGTGTGTTACTCACCAAAGGCCGGCATTTAGGACATGGGGAGTCTGACCTGAGGTTCTTTTCCCTGGTCTTCACCATATCCTGCTGCCCTATCCACTTGGAAGGATGGGAGGTGGGGGTGACATCTGACAATTTTTGTAATCCTAGCACTGCACACAGATGTGTATTTCCACCATCTTTGGCCCAAAGTAAGCACATGCAAACACACTGTTTCGCAGTAAGTCTTCTGCACTCACAACAGCTGGGAGCTGGGGATCTCTGCATTTCTGTAGCTCCAGTGTTTGGCTGGAGGGATGATTAATGATAAAAGCAGAAAACAAATGGTCTGAAATCCAGATACCCCAGCCAAGTCTCAGATGGCTAAGTCCCAGTAGCTATAAATAATAAAATAATGACATCACTCTTCTCTGTGATCCAATATGGTGTGAAAGGAAAATAAATTGCTTATCATTTGCGAGGCCAGGCTATATTTTATATTGTTTTACTTCTTCTCCATGTGTTTTTCTCAGTTGCTTCAACATGAAGAGGTGTATTCATGTGAGTTTTACCCCCACTTTCAGCCTGGAAAACATTCCTTAGTTCACTTAGAGATACCTTTAACTCGCTTTTACAATTGCTGCAAAAGCTCAGAACATGTCTGGGACCTAAGCACCTGCTTCCCCATGCTGGTGAATGAGGAGTGGGTACCCTGAGCCCTGGAGACGAGATCTCTGGAAGGTGAGTCTGGAGATGAGATATCTGGAAGGTGATCTGGAGATGAGACCTCTGAAAGGTGAGTCTGGAGATGAGGTCTCTGGAAGGTGATCTGGAGATGAGGTCTCTGGAAGGTGATCTGGAAATGAGGTCTCTGGAAGGTGATCTGGAGATGAGATCTCTGGAGGGTGATCTGGGGATGAGATCTCTGGAAGGTGATCTGGATATAAGGTCTCTGGAAAGTGAGTCTGGAGATGAGGTCTCTGGAAGGTGATCTGGATATAAGGTCTCTGGAAGGTGATCTGGAGATGAGATCTCTGGAAGGTGAGTCTGGGGATGAGGTCTCTGGAAGGTGATCTGGATATAAGGTCTATGGAAGGTGATCTAGATATAAAGTCTCTGGAAAGTGAGTCTGGAGATGAGGTCTCTGGAAGGTGAGTCTGGGGATGGCACAGCTTAGGGCAGGAACTGCAGTTGGGTGGACTCCATCTTACCATCTACTTGAGTCTGGTTGAAACAACTTATCAGACACAGGGGCTGTTTTAAAAAGGCCTTAATGGGCTCTGGATTCCTGAGTGCAAGTCTCAGTCATTCCCCAATTCATGCACACGCCTCAGTTCATTAAATACTCCCAAGTGCTGGGCTTGGGCCAGGTTTGGGGGAATCAGACCCAAATAAGAAAGCATTTTTTTTTTTGTCTTCAAAGACGAATTATTCTGTTGGATGGAATACACAACAAATACAACTGATAACTGACAACTGAATAATGAAGGAATTGTGGGGAAAACCAAGCTGGTCCTAAGTATCTGAGCTTCTGCATCCTTGGATTCAACCAGCTGCTTCCCTGATGAATGCACTGTAATATCCACATGTGAGTGGACCCATGCCATTCAGTCCCTGTTATTCAAGGTTAACTAAACATATTTTTGGACCTGACAGCCTAAGGGTGGTAGGAAATGTGCAGGCACAGGGCAGAGCTCCGAGTGCGCCGGCTCTGGCTGTCTGCATGATGGCTGAGCCTGTCCTGCTCTCACTCTTCTCTAAGATGCTGCGGGGGCCGCGTGTCCACCTGAAACCCGGGCCGCGGTCCCCTCCTCCTGGAGCCTTCACTACCTCGGCATGTGTCAGGGATGGAAAACACCCCTTCCTGGGCCACTTCTCAAGGCACCGAGAGGGCACAGGGTTACAAAGAGGAGGTGGCCTTCTGGGCTATGAAAACAACTCCCTTATTTCTGGTTAACCTCCATTGTCCTTATCTTAACCCTGAGGCAGTTAAAGTGCATACCTCCCAGGCTTCCTGAGGGGGGTTGTGTGAGGGATTCAGACAAGCATAAGCCCGTGACCCGGGGGTGGAGGACCCCCATTTCCAGGATTCCCACCCTCCGTGGTGCCCACTGGAGCCCTGGTGCTTTGTTGGAGAACAAGTACTCTTTGCAGGTGTAGGGAGAATCCTGAGAAACTTCCAAGCTGGGGGCAACTTTCCCAACCTTCTGTTGGTGGGATCCAGGTGTGATGGAAGTAACCTGGAGAATCAGAGAAGTTTTTGATAGAGGTAAAGTTTGGTGGGTCTTCCCAGGAGGCACTAGTGGTAAAGAATCCTCATGCCAATGTCAGAGACAAAAGAGATGTGGGCTTGATCCCTGGGTCAGGAAGATCCCTGGAGAAGGAAATAGCAGCCCCACTCCAGTATTCTTGCCTGGAGAATTCCATGGACAGAGGAGGCTGGTGGGCTACAGTCCATGGGGTCACAGAGTCGTAGTGACTGAGCATGCATACACACACACACACACACAGACTGATTCCTTAGTTGATGAATTATTTTGAAATGAAACCCTGATCAGTGTCACTAATACTTTACCTGCTGTCCTGGTTTGATGTGAAATGGAGCAGGACCTCATGGTCCTTGCTTCCCACCCCTGTGTCCTCAGCTTGCCTTCTGCCTGTGGAAAAACTTTAGCCAAAGAATAAGTTTAATCAAAGGACTGAGAACATGCAGAAACAAAGGCAAACAGTCAAACGAGACCAAATAATAACAGTTTAGTCATTACACAAAGTCAAGGACCTTTCATTCCTCCTTTAGATAATATTCAGAGCCGTGTTCCTGCTGGGAGATGCTGACTGTAGTGAGGGATTCAGACACAGCTTTACACCCTGTCTGACTCGGTCCCACCACCATGGAGGGAGGTCTGCCGTGTTCACGGTGAGTGCTGTTCACTCATGGCCTGGGAGAGGAGTAGAATGGTTAGTTTATTACATAAAGAATCAGAAAGGCCAGAAACTGTTATCTGAGTTCTTCTCGATATTGTATTTCTTAAATATAAGACTGTCCTTAAATACAGCTCAGAATGACTACCTCTGCAATATTATTGACAGAGGTCTCCTCCTCTTTCTAGGTTAGAGACAAGTAATTAAAAAAAAAAATGTGCCCAGAGATTTCTGTGTATTAATGTTGTATTTTGCAATTTTGCTGAATTCGTTGATGAGATCTAGTAATTTTCTGGGGGCATCTTTAAGATTTTCTATGTATAGTATTATGTCTTCTGCACACAGTGACAGTTTTACTTCTTTTCCTAGTTGGATTTCTTTTATTTCTTTTTTTCTCTGATTGTTGGGACTAGGACTTCCAAAACTATTTTGAATAAAGTGGTGAAAATAGACACCATTGTCTTGTTCTTGATCTCAGAGATAATGCCTTCAGCTTTCGGTGTGCTGTTAGCTGTGGGCTTGTCATATATATGGCCTTTATTATGTTGAGGTATGTTCCCTCTATGCGCTCTTTCTGGAGAGGTTTTTTTTTTTTATCATAAAAGGGTATTGAATGTTGTCAGAAGCTTTTTCTGTATCTATGAGATGATGATATGGTTTTTATTCTTTAATTTGCTAACTGTATCACATTGACTGATGTGAGGATATTGAAAAATGCTTGCACCCTTGGGATAAACCCCACTAGATCATGGTGTATGATCTTTTTAATGTATTGTTGGGTTCAGTTTGAGAGTATTTGTCAAGGGTGGGTGAGACTTACAGCCTGCAATGAGGCGGGCAATCAGCAGAGTACCCGGCTCCTCCTGTGTTGTGTGTATTTGCTGTGTCTCCTTTCAGAGGGAAGTGTCCGAAGGCCCCTCAGCGCTTAGGTTAGAACTTCTGCCATCAGAACTTGTCCGCATTTGCCTGCACGGAGCTCCCCGCCACGAAGATGGAAGTTTGGTTAATCTTACTCAAGCTGTAAGTTCTTTGATCAGAGCCAATGCTGATGGAATTTAGGATACAGT